GCCCTGTGCAGACAGCCCGAGAACCAGCAACCCTCTAGCTGGTCACGCCCTGCCTTCCCGCTGGAGCTGCCCGATCCCCAGAGCACCCCAGCACAAACTCCTTGGCCAGTGGAAGCTCAGCACACTCTGAGCAGCAGGGGAAGGAGGGGGAGTGACAGGGTGCCTGGGGGACTGGCCTGGTCACTCTGCCCTACACACACTAGGCACACGCACACCCTGCCCTACCCCTCACCTGGAACTCCCTCCCCACCACACATGCAATGACACCTTCGAACAGCTAACCCGCAGCTAGGGACTGCATGTTTTGGCCCCTTAAATCCATTTGTTGGGCCCTAATCCCCAGTGTGATGCCATTTGGAGGCAGGGTCTTGGGAAGTTAACTAGGTCATGAAAGTGGAGTCCTCATAATAGGATTAGTGCCCTTATAAGAAGATCCAGGAGAGAGATAGTCTCTTTTTGCCAAGTGAAGACGCAGCAAAAAGGCAGCCACCTGCAAAGCAGGAAGCGAGCCCTCCCCAGACACCAGCTCCCTGATCTGGACTCCCAGCCCAGAGCTGAGAAGTAAATGTTCATTGATTAAGCACCCAGTCGGTCTCCCCAGAAATCTAGAAAGTTCTGCTCTCAATCACATTCCTAACAAAACAACATCCACACTCAGTATTTCAGTCACTATTAATAACGGCATTGCACTCCCGCATTTAATCCTCACAACAACACTACAAGGAAGGTTCTAGCATCACTCCCACTTCACATAGAGGGGAGGTGACTGGCCCTTGATCACCGAGGCAGTGAGGACCAGAGTGGGACACAGAGTCCGTCCGCTGACTTCGAGGCTGCTGCTCTCCCGCCTCCTAACGGGTCCCCACCCGCCAGCTCCAACTCTGAGTGTGGGGCTGGGCACGGAGCAGGCACTCAGTAAATATTTGTGGAACTAACAAAACCTCAACAAATTCTCCTCACACAACTAAAGCTCTGGTACCGAGTAGAAACCAGCCACCTCAGCGAGCTCCTGTTCACACGCCACCATGGGCGCCTGCGTGCTGGTGCACCGATGGCTCTTGTGTTTGGAGGAGTTGCATCGCATTCGGCAGCAAGTCGGCAGGAGCGGGTACACCAAGTCCCCTGGGGAATCCTTTCAGCACAGCATTCAAATGTAAGGCGGGGAAACATTCTAGAACCAATAAGTTCCAGTCATCACAACACCACTGAGAGGGAGGTGGCAAGGACTCAGGGTCCCATTTAACAAATGACAAACTCAGGCCCCAAAGTCAAGGGAGGTCACTCAGAGAGGGGGGGCTGGGGGGGCACCAGCTGCCTTGATGCCCAGGAGGGGCTTGCAATTGCCCGGCTCCCACCACGGCCAGGGTGGCCGGCATTGGACCCCTCAGCCCTGTGGGAAGCAGAAAGGGTGCAGCCCTAGGGAAAACGTGTGGCTTCCTCGCTTGATCAGAGGGCGGGCTCTGGATTCTACATAGGCCTCCATCATCCCCAGATACCTCCTCACCCTCCCCTCCCGCCTCTGCACCCAGCAGAGCATCCGAGCATGCGGACCGAATCTCCTAAAACCACGCAGCTTGGCAGGGGAGGAGAGGAGACTTGGTTCTCAGAGGACTGTGCCCTTGGAAAGCTGTCCTTGCCAGGGAGTGAATGACAGGAGAACCCCCTCACTCCAGTCTCCCCTGGAGTGTCAGGCCCCACCTCTAGGGTGGGAGGAGGTGTGGTGAGGTGGACGCAACCCCAGGCTGAAGGCAAAAGCCCCCTGGTCCTTTGACCTCCTCTGTGACCTTGGGCAAATCGCATCCTTCTGGGCCTGTTTCCCCATTTGTCAGATGGGCTGCTATTACCCTCCATTGGGGTAAGTGCTCTTCTCCAGAGATGAAACAATGGCACAACGTTACCCTCACCTTGTTATTCGCTCCCGACCCCTAATCCTGGCTCAAGCTGTCAATCTGTCCAGCAAAAGGGCAGCCTGGGTGACCAAGTGTGGTTGCCTATGCCAAATGGAATCAGACCGCATCCAAAGGACAAGTCTCGGCTGAGCAGGGAGCCGAGGAACAGTACTCAGCATCCACACAGAAGCGAGATCAGGAACCAGAGAGAGGAGGTTGGTCAGGAAGCCCGCACAGGGAGCCAGCCGCACAGGGAGCCAGCCGCTCAGGAAGAAGGCCATGACAAGACCCATTCTTGTCAGGGAATGGCCACCCAGGCATAGTCCCGGATGCCAAGGATCTGCGTGGCCAGAACCTGGAGGGAGATGGGCCCGCGTGGTCCAGAGCAGGCCCAGCACTGGCACTCGTCAGGGTGTAATTGAACCCGGATCAGCTGAGGAATAGTGCGCGCAAAGGCACAGTGTGTGACTTAGTTGTATCTTGCCTGTTCCAAGGGATTTGCAAGGATACCTAAAGTACAGCAAAGAAACATTCATTAGAAATTAATAGGAAGGTAAAAGGCAAAACCGAGGAAAAGACATTAAATAAACCAGAAACCTGACTAGTTCAAACATGAAGATGACAAAGTCCTAGACATATCTCAAGGGATAAAATGTTAGACCTGAACTTCCTAGTAACAAGTGCAAAAGGGGAAACCTGATCAGTGACATGATGTCCATGAAATTACATATGCCTGGTATATATATGGCCTGATGTTCAGGAAAATCATAACTGCCCCTGGCTGTAAAGCAAGGATTTTTCCTGGCAGCCTTTTATTATAAAATTCTCAGAATAGACACAAAGGCCAGTTTCATGGAGATGTTTTCTGGGGAGTGACATCATACAAACAGCCATTCAACAAAAGCAGTCCTACAAGGACCAAAACAACAAGCTAGGGAAGTCTCCCTCTCCTGGCCTGGCTTAAAGCACAGGCATGTGAAGCTAAGTACAGCGGGTCTCAACCTGTGGGTTGTGACCCCTTTGGGGGTCGAATGACCCTTTCGCAGAGGTCGCCTATGCCATCCTGCAGATCAGATATTTGCATTATGATTCATAACAGTAGCAACATTACAGTTATGAAGGAGCAACAAAAATAATTTTATGGTTGAGTCACAACATGAGGAACTGTATTTAAAGGGCCAGAAGGTTGAGAACCACTAGGCTAAGACATTCTATTTTATTTTTTAATTTATTGGGGTCACATTGGTTAATAAAATGATATAGGTTTCAATTCTATAACACATCATCTGTGTATTGTATTGCACTGTGTTCACACCCCAAGTCAAGTCTCCTTCCATCACCATTTATGCCCCCTTTACCCTCTCCTACCTCGTTTCCCTCTGGTAAGACACTAAGGAGTATAACTGCTATTACTACTAACAGCATTTGCCATTAGTTTATTTTTCTAAAATTCACTCGTGCGACCTGTACTTCCTGAGCACCTGGTTAGTGCCAGCATCATAGGGGGCCTTGGAGAAGCAGTGCTGAGCTGGGCAGGCATGGACCCTGGGCTCCTAGGGCTTAGGTTCTGGAGGGAACCTGTAAGCAAACAGTCAGTTACTGACCACAATGTAATAAGGGTCCTAAGGGAAACCCAGAGCATTATTGAAGGGCCGAGGAAAGGCCGGACACTGCCATCCGGGAAGGCAGCCTGGAGGAAGTGGGGCCTGAGGTGGGCCTATAAGAAAACAATGCTGTCCAGGGAAAGACCTGACAGGAGAAGTGGCTAGACCTCCAGAAGTCAGGAAGCTGAAGAACCCATCATTGCCCAGAGCCGCCCCTGGGAACAGCCTTGGAAGGGCCCCCAAGAGGCCAGGCCTGGTTGGGTCGGGCCCATCCCCAGGCCACACTGGGAGGATCAAGCTCAGGCAAAACGGCAAGTGTGGTGGAGCTGGGAGCAAAAGCCCCAGCACCCAGCAGCCTCTCTGGGTCCTTCCTGGGTGGTACCCCTTCCCTCCTTCTCAGGGCTGGGCCCTGCTGCCCAGACTCAGGGATGTGGGGCCCTCTTGGGTGGTTCACAGTCAGGACAGCCTCAGCTTACAGAGGAGCAGCAGGCAGTGCTGTGGACAAGCCACCCCCCAGATGTGAAAACCAGCTCGATTGTTTTAGAGCCGAAAGGGCCCTTCGCTGTCAGCCAGTCCAACTCTCTCATCTTACAGAGGGGGGACCCGAGACCCAGAAATGGGAAGGAAGTCCTTCAAAGCCACCTGGTGAAGACTCCGGTCCAGGGGCAGAGCGAGCAGAAGTAAGGAGGAGACAAGGCAAGTCAGCAGGGCCCTTAGGGGGTCACAGAGGGAAACTCTCGCAGAGGCTCCATGAGAACAGGAGAAGGAGACCACATCTCAGACCAGGACCATGTCCCAGAGCTGCAGTTTCCTCATCTGTCCATGGCGGTGACACCAACCCTCTCACAGTGTTACTGGGAGGACTGGAGAGCACCTTGCAGGCTGTGAAGTCCTGTGCACACAGAGATGGCGCACGGGGCCAGTAAGAGGGCGACGTGAGGGATGATAATAATGGGCCACACTGATCAGAGCACTCACTGTGAGTGAGGCACTGCTCTCACAACAACCCTCAGCATCTGCGTCTCGCAGACCGAACAACTGAGTAAAGCGCATCAGTCCCCCCTTATCCGCGGGCGATACCTTCCAAGACCCCCAGCGGATGCCTGAAACCGCAGACAGAACCAAACCCGACACATAGTATGTTTTTCCTACACATACACACCTAATAAAGTTAAATTTATAAATTAGCCATGGTAAGAGATTAACAACAAGGACTACTAATAAAATAGAAGTTATATATATATATAATATTCTATAATAAAAATTATCTGAATGGCTTTGGGACCATCACTAAGTAAAATAAGAATTACTTGAACACATGCCGTGAGATACGACGATAGTCAATCTGATAACCGAGACAGCTACTCGGTGACTCAGGGGTGGGTGACGTACACAGCGTGGATGCACTGCCTGAGGAATGATTCATGTCCCAGGCAGGACAGAGCAGGACAGCATGAAATTTCATCATGCTACTCAGAATGGCACACAATTTGAAACTTACAAATTGTTTATTTCTGGAATCTCTCATTTAATATTTTGGATCATCATTGACCATAAGCAACAGAAATGGCGGAAAGCAGAACTGTAAATGAGGCAGGACTATCGTAACTTGCCCAGCATCTCACAGCTTACTAGGGATGGTGCAGGGATCAGGTCTCTTGATCATACACAAGAGGGCCCGATTTGGGTGGCTCAGCTCTGAGAAGGGAACTGAGCGATAGAACCCGGAGTACAGACCCCCCAAGTCTCAGTGCTCTCTGCGTGGAGCAGTGTTTTGCCCTGCCCCAGCCAGCCTCTGAGGGGCCGGGAGGGAAGGATGGTCTGGGTGGGCCCAGATGACCATGGTGGGCCCCAGCTGACATAGCTGTCCTCATTATCTATTGCTACCCAACAAATCACCACAAAACTTTACTCCCAGATTCTGTGGGTCAGAGGTTCAGAGCGAGCACAGCGGGAATAGGCTGTCCCTGCTCCACGGCGGCGTCTCAGGCCTCAGCTGGGAAACCTCAAACAGTTGAGGAGGCTGGATGGCTGGGCTCAGCTGGGGCTGTTGACCAGAGCACCTAGACATGGCCTCCGCATGTGGCTTGGGCTTCCTCTCACCATGGCAGCCTCAGGCTAGTGGTTTTTCTCACTTCTTACTGGGTGGCTGAGGGCTCTAAGAACAAGTGTTAACAAAATGGAAGTTGCATTGATTTTACCTTCTTAGCACCACTTCTGTCATTCTGTGTGGGGTGAAGCAGTCACAAATCTGTCCAGATTCAAGGGGGCGGGACATAGACCCGTCTTTCAATGGGAGGAGCGTTAAAGAATCTGACGTGTTTTAAACCAGCACAGTTGCCACGGGTGGGCCAGCAGCCTGGTAGGAGAACACAGCAGGGACCCATCCCTCCATGTCGGCTTCTCAGAGGCTAAAGAAAGGCATGGTCAGTCAGGGCAGAACCAGGACCCAGCTGGGCCCACCTAAGCCTCCTCTACCTGTGCTCCTGGCCTCCTGCACCCCGCCTTGGACTCAAACATCCTCCCCTAAAATGAGCAGGATGTTAGGCCAGGCACTCACAAAGGCAGGCCTCACATCTCACCTCAACTGCAGGGGGATGGCCTGGAGTGGGTGCTCCTCACCTGCACAGTGGTGATGCTTCTTGCCTCCAGGGTCCTGGGGAGCATGGAAGAGAGCACATAGGTGAGACCAGACACCCAGTCAGCTCCCAGTGAACGCTGGTTTCCTTTCAGGGAGAACAGGGTGGGGCGGGTGCCACATGAAGGCAGAGAATCTGCGGACCTGACTCACCGGGTTCTCTCCCGGGGACTTAACCGGAGCAGCGTGTCTGCACTTGAAGCTGCGGAGCACCTCCAGGGCCTGTGGCTCCCAGCTCTAATTACAGCTTTCTGGACGTTTCCTGTTTGGGAGCTGGCCGGGTCCCCTCAGAGGAGCCACAGATAATGAGCAGCTGGCTGTAGAGCCTCCATCCACAGGGCACTGACCTTGGAGCAGGCCCAAGCAGGCCCACCTTGGAGGGCAGAAGGCTCTCAAAGTTTCAACACTGCCTACACACACACACGCACACACACACACACACACAAACACACCACCATGGCCACAGGTCTCCGCTTGCACAGCTCCAGTGAGAGGGAGCTCACCACTTCACAGGCCACCTGCTAACCTTTGGACAGTGAGGTGGTTAGAAGCACCTCCCAGATCAGCCTGCCCTTCAGCTTCTAGGTACCAGTCCCCAGGTCCATCAAGAACAAGGCAACAGGGAACAGAAGAAAGAGGTGGCCTCTGGGGTCAGGAGGAACTGGGTTCAAGTTTAGGTTCTACAGCCTTGGTTAAGTCCCTCCACTTCTTTGGGTCTCGGTTTCCCATCTGGAAAATGAGAGTAACACTACCCAGTGTGAAGGGAAGCTGGAGGGTGAGATGCCACAGCACCTGTGAAAATGTCCAGCACAGAGTATATGTCACATAAATGTTGCTTCCTCCCCCTTCCCTCTTGGACTCTGCATTAGGTGGCTGCTTTAGGCTTGGCGACCAGAGACACACTCAGATGAAAGCAAGTGACTGTCTTGCAGACCCACTGGGACACCTGCAGAATTAAAGAGGGAAAAAGGTCACCTCCCAGCCACACAGCAAAGCCTCATGGCAAGCTGGGAGCAGGGGGCAGCTTTCCCATTTCAACTTCTAAGAGCAAGTAAATGTTTATCAAATCAAGGGTGGATGGATGGATGGATAGATGGATGATGGACAACAGACTGGTTTAAACAAGTTTCTAAGTCTAACCAGGAAACACTCACCCCCTTTTAGTTCCGGCCCTACTGGATGTCATATTTTTGTGGAGAAAGGGTGTGAGGCAGTGATTTTTTAACTTTTATAAGCATCGGAAGAGAACTTGTAAAACACTGATTCCTGAGTCCACGTCCAGAAATGTAGACACGGTGGGCCTGGGTGGGACCTCAGTCTGTTTTCCTGCAGCTGCCTGTGCGGCTGCCGCTGCTCATGTGGGGAAGGTCTGGAGAGAAGCAGAACAGCCCCCAGTAGCAAACAGGTCCACGGCCAAACTGGGTAAGCTGGGCTGGGGGACTGCAGCAGCAGGAGAAGGAAGGAGCCCCTCCCAGCCCTGGGATGCCAAGGGTGATATGACACCACCTCCACTTCCCATCTCTTCAAATCTCCTCCCATCTCACTCCCATACTTAGAGCAGCCAGCCTGGGCTCTCAGATGCTGAGATGGTTTTATTGGGTTCAAAGACAGCACCTCCTGGCAAGGGGTTCGGGCTGCACAAAACTCCCAATAAATAGGTAAGGTGTGCAGGAGCCAGGCAGGCCAGCCACCCACGACAAGCCTTCAGGCAGGAGGGAAAAACCCTGGAAAGAAGAGAGTCTAGCCTCCTGGTGCCCCAAGACATGCACACATATGCATGCATGTATGCACATGCACACCTGCACGCATGCACATGCAACGGAAGAAGCCCAGCCCCGCCCCTAGACATCCTTCCTTTCTGTGGTTCCCTGGCTGATGGAGCAGAGCTTCCATTCAGGATTCAGCTCAGGCACTGACTTGCTGCATGAAGGGCCCTGACCACGTCCCTTCCCCTCGCTGCGTCTTGGTTGAGGTGGTTGGACTAGGCCTTGCCTAGAGGAGGAACTGGCAGTACCTGAGCCACTGATGCGCTCATTTATTAATTCTTTAGTTCCACGGATATTTATTGAGCCATCCCTGTGAGCCCAGATCTGATCTATCGCCCTGAACAAAAGTGGAATGGAGTTCATGCCTCAGCTGGCCCCGTGGTCTGCACAGAGCTCTATCCCTTCCATCTCCCCCTCACCTTCGCCTTCTCACGGCACCTTCAGACAGCAATGTGAGATGACGTCCTCCTCCCTGCTTTACAGATGAGGGGACTAAGGCTCAGAATAGGTGGCAGAGCTGGGGTTCAGACACTCATAGGGTCCCTGAGCCATCACACAGCCCTGACAGCTCTGCCCCTGACCAAGCCCCTCCATCCTCTGACAATCAGCTGGGTGCAGGGCATTCCTTCAGGGCATCCCCTCTGCCCTCCAAGGTCGATCACTCCACATGGAAGTGGAGGGCCAGAGGCCATGGAGACTGAGCCCACCTCACCCCAGATTTGAGGATTCCAGGCCGGGCCCCGGCTTCCACCACCCCCACCCCGGGGAGGGCAATCCAGGCCAGGCTGTTCAGACCCCTTCCTTGGCAGTGGGTGCCCTGAGTCCCCCGGTGCTCCAGAAGTGCTGGCAGGTCCTCTCAGTCCCCATCGCAACCCCCCCTCTCATCACTCCCCCCAAGTGCCTGCACACGACCCCAGGCAGAGCAAGCCCACGCATCAGGCACTCACTCTACATGACACTGAAAAATGAGGCAAGTTCAGTTTCTACTCACTGGTCTCGTGTTTTGCAATCCAGAAACTAGAAGGAGCTGTTTCACCTTCAACATACAAGGAAGCCTAGTGTCTCCAGGGAAAATAAGCCTTGTTCCACGTTTCTCTGCAGGGTGGGAGTGAGCACCAGATCTTCTCAGGGCTCAGAACCGAAAGGTCTCCGCCAGCCTTGGCCCCGCCTCTCCGCCCCATGCTGAAGTGTGAGCAGTCCCTGCCCAGGGCCTGGGGGAAACTCTCCCCTCTGCCTCTCCAGATCCGCCCTCCATGTGCTTTTTTCCCCCGGAGTCCTCCAGAAAGCAGCCCCACTTTCTCTCCAGTCCCCACGGGCTGAGCTGCACGAAATCCCAGGGATCCCTGGGCTCCTGGGCTCCTGGACCCCACATCCTGCCTCAGGTGGCTGCCCTTCCTAGGGCACTCGTCAGTCTCAGAGGGCACAGCTCACCCGGAGCCCAGCTCAGGCCACACCCGGACTGTCTAAGACTAGCTCCTCCAGACGCTCTGTGAGGCCGAGGCGCTGTTTGCCCAACACACGCTCTCTCTTCTGCAAGTGAACGGATTTTCCAGGGGCTCCGACAGGTAAACGCAGAAGCAGGCGGGACAACCCAGCTGTCTTCTCTTAAGTAAACCATTGAAGAGACTCACAAAAATAGAAAGTGATGGCACTCGGGAGTATTTTTATCTTAGAAAACAGTTATTTTACGTGAAAAACATATTATATCAATAGGTAATGGTTTGCTCTTGTTTTCAAGAATAAATATTTTATGAGTTGTCATTTCTAATTTCTAATGTGGTACATGAACAAAAGCTCTTCAGGTCCCCAATAATTTTTAGATTGTGACAGGGTCCGGAGGCCACATTGGAGAACTCTTGGGTGAAGAGAAAGTGCCCCATCCACTGTAGGTACCGCACAAGAGGTGGGGCCAACCAGCAGGCAGTCCAATCCAGAGTCAGAAGGGGCAGGGACCTGCGGGGAGGTGACCTGGGTGCTGCCCTTGAATTGGGAAATAAGAAGTGAGTTGGGCGGCAGCCAGAGGCAGGGTCTGGGAGGAGGGAGACCTGGACAGAGACCGGGGGAGAGTTGGGAAAGGCAGCCACACGTCTGAGGAGGAGGGACTGCAGCCCAGAGCAGGTGTGCAGAGGAAGAGGGTCACATGGAGTTAGCATGGGACAGAGAAGCAGGGGGCGGGCAAAGGAGGCCCACTGTGGGCAGTGCCTGCACTGCAGCCCCTGGCTCTGCACGGGCATCTCCCTGGGCTGCAGACGGCAGCCCAGCTCTGCTGCAGGCCAAGGAGTTGGCTGCCCCCCAGGTGCCAATGATCTTTCCCTTTTCACTCAGCCATCCCTTACATGAGGTCAGCTGAATATTTCTGTTCCTCATCACCCTCAGAGCCCCAACAAAATAGCCTTGACTTCTGTCCTAGCTCTGGGACCCTGGGCTAGTACAGAGCATCTGTCCACGCGTTGTCAGCATAGAGATGCTGAGTCCAGCTGCCAGAGCAGGGGAGGGCTCATGAGGACTGACTCAAGACACATGTAGAGGGCCTGGCACATGCTCTGCCCTCAACAGGTGCAGCTAATATTAGTATACTTGCTCCTGCCTCGATGGCCACTGTTATTATTAGTGCTGGTATTAATATCCCGGCAGGAAATGGTGCTCAAGGTCACAGAGCTCCCAATGTGACTGAGGGACAAACAGGAAGGCCAGGAGTGGTCAGAGGCAGAGCTGGAGTCAGAACCCACTCCCCTGTCCCACCCAGCATGTCCCAGGGTGACTACCAGCGCCTGGAGGGTGGGAACATGCCAGCACCATCCACACTCCCAACACCACGCATTCCTCTCTCAGCAGTTATTTTTTTGGACACATCTCATGGGTTAGGCACTGTCTTCCCACTAGGCTTGGCCCAAAATTGGTTCAATCAGTGTTTGTAGATCAATCGTTGGCCTCGCCCATCTGGCTGGCCACTGGGCCTCTAGAACAGAGGTGGGTTGTGGGAAGAGTTCTCTGAGCCACCCCTCGGACCATCAGTAACAAAAGCACAGCTGTGACTCTGAGCAGCAGTCGTGCCTGCCACGACTCTGGGGTCCCTCTGAGCAAGACCTGGGTCCTCACCCCCTTTGCAGGGAGGGAAACAAGGCCCAGGGAGGTCCAATGACCATGTCTGAATACACAGCCAGGCCTGGGAGTGTGACAGGGTCCTGAGGGCTGAAAGCACAGTGGAGGTTCCAGGTCCCAGAGCGTGGCTGGGGATGGCCACAGTGGCTCAGGCAAGCAGACAGGGCTCAGGACATGCCTGAGAGTGGGAAGTGGACAGCAGGGTCTCAGGGGTCTTCATGGGCAAAGGGGAAGGTCTAGGAGGGGA